AGATTTTTCTTTGGAAGATATCTCGCTGGATGAGGTACAGAGTGCCCTGAGGGCCACAAAACCAAAGAAGGCTGCAGGGAGAGACGGAATCGTGGCAGAGATGCTTAAGGCAGATTTTGAAACCGCTACAAGACAGTTGCAAAAGCTCTTCAATGAAATCTGGAGAAATGAAAGAATACCAGAACAATGGAAAGAAGCAGTAATAGTGAAAATTCCCAAGAAAGGCGATCTAACAAAATGCGAAAATTGGAGGGGCATTAGCCTACTTTCCATACCAGGAAAAATATTTGGAAGAATAGTTTTGAATAGACTAAAACATGAAATTTATGGAATTTTAAGAGAAGAACAGGCAGGTTTCCGCAGTGGAAGTGGAACAATGCAGCAAATCTTCACACTTAGAAATATCATTGAGCAAAGCTTAGAATTTAACACCTCTTTATATTTAAACTTTATTGATTTCAGTAAAGCCTTTGATTCAGTTAAGAGAGAGAAATTATGGGAAATTTTATCACTTTATAATATACCAGAAAAATATATTAACATAATCAAAGATATGTATGATAACAGCAAAGCATGTATAGAAGTAAATGGAGAATTAACTGAATTCTTTTTAGTAAAAACTGGCGTGAGACAGGGATGTGTTTTATCGGGATTTTTATTTATACTGGTGATAGACTGGATTATGCGAAACAGCTTGAAAGATGAAAAAAGAGGAATAAGGTGGAATTTCACAACTACTTTAGAAGACCTTGATTTTGCTGATGACATCGTACTTATTTCATCCAAATGTACAGACCTTCAACTTAAAACAGACAAATTCAACAAATATTCAAATAGTGTAGGTTTATTCATGAACAAGAAGAAAACTAAAGTAATGAGAATAAATCAAAAGAAAAATGACAAAATTAAAATCGAAAATCACGAAATAGATGACATAGAGTCATTTAGCTATTTAGGTTCTATTGTAGATAAAAAAGGTGGAAGTAGTGAAGATATTAGACAGAGAATAATCAAAGCAAGAACATGTTTTAAGGGATTACATAAATTTTGGAGAGAGTCAAATATTGAAATAAAGACAAAAATAGTTGTTTACAAAGCTATTGTTAGAGCAGTACTATTATATGGCGCAGAAACCTGGAAACAGACTAAGATCGAAATACAAAAATTAGAAACCTTTCAAAACAAATGTTTAAGATTTATTTTTAAAATTTTCTGGCCTTACAAAGTATCAAATCAAAATCTATTAAAGAAAGCTAAAATAAAAACAATCGAAGATGAAATTAAAAAACGAAGATGGAGCTGGCTCGGACATATCCTTAGAATGCCCAAAGAAAAAATTTCATCTGTTGCGCTTACATGGGCCCCTGATGGTAAAAGAACTAATTGAAGACCCAGACTTACCATCCAGCGCATGTTTTTGGGCGAATTAAAAGAATGTGGAATATCTGGCTGGGAGGAAGCAAGATCTATTGCTAAAGACAGGAGGCGTTGGAGGGATATGCTGGAGGCCTTAAGTGCCCAAGGCACGTAGAGGATAAGTAAGTAAGTAAGAAAATCTTGCAGACTATTAACAAATGTTTCAACGGACACCACTGAAATTTAAAAATATTTTTAAAATATATTATATTAAGCTCACAATTTCATTAAGCTACATAAGGGGGCAATTTATTTTATAGATCTTTGTTCTCACATGGTTATTTACCATCTAAAATAGTTGAGTTTTATTACAAAAATTCAAACTAAGGCAAGACGTAATGGCTATCACAGCACAACGATTGTAAATGAACAGCAAAGATGATGTCAGTTCATGAATAATCACTTGATGTCCCGTTTCAGATTAAAACAAAAGAGTTTTTTGCTGAAAAATAACTTAATGATTAGACCTCTTAGAAAAGTTACAAAATGCTTTCTGGGAGTTATGAGGGATTTTGAGTGGATTAATATCTTTAAAAAAATTTACTGCAATCCTCCATTCCATAAGTTTTATTTTTAAAATTAGAAATAGTTATTATATTCTAATATCAATGCAACTTGTTTACCATTTTAAATATCTAGCGATTTCAAAAATAGCTTTGATGCTTTAACACTTCATGGGATAGTTGAGCCTGAATGAAAATTATAATTTTATTTATTAAGGGATTTGTTTTAATAATAGTATAATAACATTAACCATATTATTCAGAAGTTTTAGTGTACTCAATGTTATTGAAAAATATTTACAAATTGTACTTCAATTGGTAAATTTAAATCAAATTAAGCTTTTCTTTTTAAATATTGATTTTTTCTGTATCATTTATCTTTTTATTTTAAAATCTATTTTGACACTGGATTTTTAAAAATAAAGAAGGCAAGTCAAACATGAGTAACACAGAACAAATTGTATACTTAACATTTTACATTCATACAAATTAAATGTTTTTAAATACCAAACTCAGGGAAAAAAAAATTTTTTTTACCATCATTTGCATTCAGCATTTTCTTGGTGCTTATTTGACCAAGCAAATAACTCAACTTCAAGAGATTTACATAAAGCTCTGACCATTTCAATCTTTCCTACACCTGGTGGGCCACTAAAAATGAGCTCCTATATTAAACAAAAAATGTACATTAGTTTTTGAACAATGTGTTACAATAAACCAATTTGAATCAGCTTTATCTAAATTGCTTTTAAAATCATAATTAAATCATTTGGATTTCTTTTTTTCTAAAAATCACAAATTTAAAAAATAATAATAATAATCTTTTTAATATGTGTCATTTTTTAGTAACATTTAATAAAACTTTTTTACATAAACTGAAATCTGTTTCTATTTTTGAATTTCTGTTTCTGTAGCATCATAATTGCTCTTTATTATTATCATACTATTATCAGAACTACTCAATATAACAAACAAAAATAAAGTGAAAAAACAACAACAAAAAACATGTAAGTTTTTTCTTAAGCAACAACCAATTGATAGGACCTTCACTTCCAAATTAATTTGATTTATCACTATTTCTGAAGCAAAAAATTAAATGAATATTATAAAAAGAAAGCTTTTGATTAAGCTAAGAAGAAAATTCTAATATTTTCGTAACATTAATAATGAAATGATTTCATTGGAATCCTTAGTCAGGGCAGATTTTTCCATTATCTTTTTGAGAAAACTATTTTAACTTTCGAAAGTTTGATTTTCTATTTTTTTTTCCTATAGCAACAGGTGAAAAAGCAATTGCTTACTTATGCCTCTGATATATAATTCACTGTTCACTCTTTATAATTCACTGTGCATGACTTAGTACACTCCAAAATTAAAAATAATTTTGGAGAATGAAAAATAAGAAAATATATTTGAATAAATAAAATTTTTCAATAGTATCTAAAAATGTAAGTACAAAATAAAACAAACTTATTTACCAAGACGACATGAATTAATCAACAATAATAAAAAAAATTGGTTGGTCGTTTTTCTTGACTAGTAAAGTGTTACTCAGAGTTTGTTCATTAGAAAATGGAGCTAATTTCAACACAATCAAGCTACCGGGTCTAACCCTACTTACCCTTTTCTCCCAACATAAATTTAATTAAAAATATCAATACTTAAAATTTACTTTACTGCATTTGAATGAGAGGAAAAGCTTTTTCAATAAAAACAAGAGGTGGATATTTCCTGTTGCGCCAACTACAATTGACAAGGTGACAAATATCTAGATTTGAAACTAGCAATTTAAACAACAAAACAAAAAACATGAAGATCGCTACGAGTTAATCCCTTTCTGTGATGTTTTTATAAGTGGGCCACTGCTCGAAGTTCCCAAGACTTGACGATTATTCTGCCACAGATTACAACATAGAAATTAACAAGAGAGCATTTTTTATTCTATTTATTAGTTGCATTCTGAATCCACAGTCCAGAAACTTTTTTTTTATAAATTGCAAGCTCTTCCTAAAAAAATAAATAGTTCATCGAACATCAAATTTAATTACTTTTTACCACAATACAATAAATAAATTAATTGATATTGATTTTTTTTATCCAAATAAAGGGATAAAGAGAAACCACAACACTGAGGAAGTAATATGAACAATAACAGGCAAAATCTTTTTAAACAAAAGTAAATTTTATTAAAATTTGAAACAGTATATTGGGGTAAAAGAAAAAAAAAATCAATGAAATTATCCTACTTAGAAAAATAGCTTACCGAATAAAGGATTGGTAAAAGGTTGATCTGTAAGAAACAAACAAATAGAGTAAAATAAAGCTGTAACAATAGTTTCAACTACTATTGATATTAAAATAAATTTGATATTTCAATATACTTCTTAAAAAATTTTATATAACTCCATTTGGATCAAAAATTACTAAACATAAAATAAACCACAAGATTTCGTTTTTCACAAGAATAAAGATCAAAAATTCTAAAATATACTCAAAATCATGAATAGACAGCAGTTCAAGATTTGCTCTGATATCAATCTACTTATTACATTGACATACAAAAAGAAATGAATATAATTTCGGAGAAAAGGAAGCAAATGAGTTGTACAGTATTTAGTCTTACAACATTTATCGGCGAAAATTTTTCGACCCATGTTCAAAATCATCTTTTCCGCACTGAAACAAATCTTCGTGTTTCCGCTTTTGTGAAGTCCATAATAAAGTGGAGTCTTAGAATCAAAGTAGTTTTAAGATTTCGCGTTTGTCATTAAAGCTGTCTTAACCAAAATTATTATTTATTTTGTTGTTTGTTTTACTTATTCTCTGCATGCTTGTAAGTTCAATTATATAATTACGGCTTAAAAGCCATAGTAAGACTTTATTACTGCTTCCGCAGCAGTCATTTGTATTTGTTTATTTTATGCAAGAACTATAACAATTTTTGAGCTTTACGATGTAAAAATATGAGCTTATAGCTTTTCAACACATTGCAGAGATTTTAACTGTAGTACTATGTAAGCTATAATTTAGTGTTATATTTTTTTCGATCAGAGCAAGTGGAGATTCTGACCCATCAATCCATCAAATCTATACAATCAATTCACTGCTGGAAGTTTGAAAGTTGGTAGAGTAAAGCCATAGATATAAAGTATATTAGCCCCTGAGTAAAGCTAAAATTTTTTTATTTATTTATATATTTCGTTAGCAATGGGACATCCTAAATTTTAAGAAATCAATTTTGTCAACAGGGCACTGTTGGCACAGTCCGCTTTAATTGTATGTTTTGTAAACTAATTATGTTGTAATGCTCTTTGCTTTTGTTGCTAAACCCTTTTATTTTATTTTTAGTTGATGGAAACTATTGCATAACCGGTGGATCTGATAAATCATTGACAGATTCCTTGTAAATCATCGATCTTGAAGAATTAGATGGGACTTGGATATAAAGTCTTAGAAGTTTAATCTTCAGCTAATAGTTCACATACAGCATCCAGTGCAAAGGACAAAAACATTTTTTATTGGGACGTTAGTACTGCTGAAATAGTAAGACACTTTAAAGGTCATGCTGGTATGTTCTTTTTTTTGAAGAAAAAAAAGAAGAAAATTTTCTTAATGATTTCATTTGTAATTATTGGAGATCTTAATTGTTTTAATAAATGCCATTTTTTTCACATTACGTTAGGTAATATTTCCTTATCACTACCCTTTTGAGCCAGCTACTGTCAATAAATAGTGTTTCAGGTACTTTGGGATCAACTCATCTACCTTTCATCACTCGCGTAAATAAGTAAATCCCTTGGTGCCATCATAATGAAAAGCAATTTCCAAAAAAAAAAAATACATTCTAAACATATTAAATTTATCAAAAAATAATAACAAAAATATTTATGTCTAAAAATACGTAATAAAAAGTGTAATCAAAACAAAGTAAAAATATATATATTTTTTATAATTACACATTGAATTATTCTTGATTCTAACTATGCTTATCAGTTTTGATGTACAGTCCCATTCACACCATATCATGGCTATTCACGAACATTTCCTTAGAAGAAGTGATTCCTTACTCTTGAAAATATGCCACTGCCCTCTCTTGGGTGCTAGGCAAATCTTATAATTCCAATCATTTTGCAGCAGAGTTTTTAAAAAAAATAATAAACAGTGCATTTCAACATGCTAAAGAAAATTAACTTTAGTCAAGAATTACCCGGTAATTATGATAAAATTTGCGGTTATTGTGAGTTACGCAGAAGCTGCCTTTCTGCGATGTTATCTGGTTTGGGCAAAAATGGTCGATGGGTATGTAGAAATTTAGGCTTAAAGTTACCCATTAAGTTTGTCCTCTTTTGTGCTTTTTTGTTTTGTTTTTTTTCCTTTTTATAGTTTCCCACGTTTCACTGCCTGCAAGTCTCAAAGCCTTAGCCATTACTTTGGGAAAGTACTAATACTCAAGGCTCGAAAAACCGCCCATCCTCGGCGGTCAAAAATTCCCCGCGGACAACAAATTTCTCGAATCCAGGGTCCGCGCGAGCGGGCATTTTCCTGTTAATGTTCGTGATACATTTTCAATTTTTGTTATCTTATAAGAGTCTAGCGCCTCACTTCTAAAGTGACCCTCTAATATCGAAATACAGCAACATACTGCGCATGGGGGAATTGATGTTTTCTCTGCCTGAGAGTACTGCAGCGGTTGAAAGGGGCTTTTCAGCAATGAACTTACAAAAAAAACACATTACTTACTGGCCTTAAACAAGAAGCGTTAAACACATTTATGAACATCTACCTAAATGGAATACCTCTCAGATTTCTGTGCAGAAACCTCTGTAAATCATTGGCTTGATTGTGGAACTGGCAGACGTCATATTTGATTCATTTAAAAAACGCAGTACCCTCGGATACATTGACATTCCAAATAACTTGACATTTAAATTATTTCATAAAAGAAATAAATTATTTCATAACAGAAATAAATTATTTTATAAAAGAAATACTAGGTTCCTATTAGTAACCTAGTATTCCTTTTATTACTGTATAATGTAATCCTAGTATTTGTAATCCTAGTAACTACTAATTGATTGTGCAATTTATATAAATGTTTGTAATAAATAAGAGAAAATTATATTTTTATTTATTTAGAAGCGACGGGTTAGTTTCAAAGGAGGACGGGTATATTGTTGGACATGCCGTCCTCGGGGACGGGTAAAATTTCTGAGTTTTTTCAAGCCCTGCTAATACTTAAATATTTTTTTGATCTGTACTAAATTTTGTGAAGCAATACTGTTTCTAAACTTCTGTAACTAAAAATTTAATTATTAAGAAATACAGCTTATTTAAATAATTAAATTCTGCCAAACTGATTTTAAAACCTCTGTGAGATTAAAATTTACCTAAAAATTTCTTCTCTCTTTAATTAAACTCTTAGAACAGTTTTAAGGAAAAGATTATTATTTTTTTTTAATGTTAATTAGATGAAGGGAGGAAGGCCAGAGATGTAGCTACTGGGAGGGTGTAGGAATCATCAATGTTGGCAATTATGATCTTAGTCGACTATTTAAATCATAGTGTGCAAATTCTAAGTTGTTAGTTTCAATAGATGCAAGTCTCAAACAATAGTTTTTTTTTTTTTTTAATTTTGAACCTTTTTATAGTGTTTTAATTTCCTATGTTCTTTACATATTAAACAGAACTCTGAAAGCTATTTCAAATCACCTTAACAATGTTTGAATAAATTTCTTTAGAGAATCCGAAGCTAAGCTACATATTACACAGGAAGAAATAAATTCTTCGTATTTATTTTTTAACTTTAAAAAGAAAGTGAGTCTTATGAATACTGAATATTTATAATATATTATAAAAAAGAAAATAAAGATGCTTCACTCACTTTATAACAAATATTAATTGATACAGAATCTGAATTCAGCATTTGTGAGTAAATGTGAGCCTAAACCACTTATTATAGACTAAATTTGAACTACTATTAATGACAATTAAATGTATAAAGTTGACCATAGACAAAAAAGTGAAAAATAAAATATTTTGTGTAACACATAAGAATTAAGTTGTTGTAGTCCCAGTAAATTTTTAGGATATTATGTTTATTTTATACAAAGTTTATCCTGAAATGTGTTGTAAGAATTTATTATAAAATGTTTAAAAGGAAGCAGATGAAAAAGTCAGTGCTTTTTAAAAAACATGAAATAAGCCACAAACTTTTCATCTGCTAATTAAAAATGCCTAACGATTTTCAGGAAAGGAGGCAAAAATTGTCCTTTGCAGCTGCTGCTCGAATTTCAGAACGCTAGTGCAGACAATTCTGGAGTTAGATGTACACACACAAAATCTTCATTTTATTATTATACATAAATGTCAACTGTCAATTGTCTTATTTCTACTTACACTTTTAAATTATTTCCCCCCATTTTTTATAAATGAAATAAGTACAATTAGGTAATGTTTTTATTTTATAAAGAATCAGCAAAATGTGTTTCTTAAATAATTAATTAAATCCTTAGAAAACAACTTAAAAAATGTATATTTTCAATTTGTCATTTTTAAGATGAAATCTTAGGTAGAAAAACACTTGTAATTGGATTAAACATTCCTTAAAAAAGAGAGAGAGGAATATTATAATGCCTGGAAAAACAAACCTTACTGTTTATTAGTTAGGCTAATATTAGCATTTTGAAAGTTCTCCTAGTATGCATGTGAATTTGATCTAAATGTTGACAGATATTTATATTTTTCATCACTTACTATAATTCATCAGTTTAGGTTATGATGATGCTACAAAGTTCAATGAAGAATCTAGTTTTACTATCTGTTTCAGTTGATAATACTGTTTTTGCTTGGGATTGTCGTAGCAAGTCTTGCGAGCCTATTCAGGTGATTTATCTTACTTTTACTGTTGGGTTTTAAATGGACAAATTAATAAAATAATGAATTTAAATACTATGTATCTTGCTTTCAGTTTCCTTTTCTTTATTATAATTTTTTTTTTAATTTTGTTGAATCAATTAAATTTATTTTATTAGAAACAACAAAGAATCACAAACAATTTGTTACTTTGTGACTGTTTAGTTTTAAACTTGGCTCAAAAGAAATATTTTCTGTATTTATATATGTAACTGTATGTACAGAGTATTTGATGATCAGCTTTAGTGTATATTTTTTAAACCTTTTTCAAAAAAGTTTAAACATTTAGTGGTTGTAAATTAAAATTTAAATGAGAATAAAACAAATACTAAATGTAATGAATCACTACTGAAAAAGGTAGGACTTGAAAGACCAGAACTTGTGTGAAGCCACCACTAGGGAAGTACTTTGAAATTTAAAGTTGACAGAAATTTTTAACAGAAATTTTATTTTTAAGCATATTTTCTTTGTATGCTTATTATAAAAAAGTATAATAAATTATTTGGGCATGACTAAAGAAGAAAAAAAAACTGTGAATAAATAAAGCTCAAATATGAAAATCCATTATTTGTGCTAGATCCACATTGTATTTTGCTTTAGTCTAGTATTACCCTCTCCTTTTTTGACTATTTGTGTATAGTTTTGCTTATAAGGAATTATTTCAAAATAAAGGTTACTAATAATCAAGGTTATTTCAAATTTATTCCTAATAAAAATACTTTTTATAAAAAATTCTTTGGTGGCCGTACTTTGAATACTACAGGGTGCGTAGCATTTTTATAAAATGATTCACTATTTTTAAAAGCCTTTAAAAGTGCTTTTTTCATTGAGAATTTGTAAAAAGTGCTTAATTGTCCTTCTTTCAAATAAAGAGTTATTTATTTATTTTTTGATCGTCGTCATAGATTTAAAAAAAAAGCTTAATTTTCAAAATTTTTTCTGCTATATTTATCAGTAACTTTTTATTTTATCATGATTATGTAAAGTCTTTGAAAATAACTTTGCATTTTGTTGATTATATAAATGAAGAACTTTAAACAATACGAAGAAAACATTTTTATTTCTGCACATATCCTAATTATGATTTTTTTCTTCTGATAAGTGATTAAAAATATTTTTTGAATGCTTTTTTTATATACCTAGTACAGAGTGCTACACACTCTGTACTAGATATTTGCCAAGCCTAAGTAGCATGTGTTTCATATAATCAATTTAAGGTGAATTAATAAAAGTTTCATTGATATGTATTTGACCTTGGAAAAAATAAGCATTTTATCTTAAAGTTTTAAATGTTTCTTTTGAAACACATTAAAATGAAATGAGTTTCTTCTTCTTAAGATGCAATTTCTGTTATAAAATCTTGTATGCATGATACAAAGGACATCTTTGTATTAGAGCAGGAAATACCTTATTCGTCTCCCTGTTGAAAAAATAATGACATTTTATTGTATCTATCTTTGAATTTTATAAGGAAATGAGCAGAAATTTCCCAATGTTTAAATAAATTTTGTTATTATTGAGTATAATTTTAAATTTCATGTGATGCAAAATATTTTATGACATCTTTGTCATATAACAGCAGAAATATGTTAATTTAAAACTGTGTCAGAGCATGAAATGCTTTTTTTTAAAAAATCTTTTGTAAAAATAATTGTTCATTACATTATGATGTATATTTACTTTTTATATTATAATATAATGATTAAAACTTTTAAATATTTTTAATTAATTTTGTTTTTTGACTATTTTAAATTTCAGATTTCCCATGATGCAAAATAATCTATGATTTCATTGTCTGTTTCAGAGTATCAAATATTTTAATTCACATATTTTTTTCTCTTGTAAAAATAATTGCTTGTTACATTTTAAAATAGTTTTATTCTCTATATTAAAACATAATTTGTTAATTAAAATTTAAATTTCGAATTAAGTTTTGTTTAATTAAGTATTAAGTATAATTTTTAATTGTAGGTTTGACATGATACAAAATATTCTACGATTCCTCTGTCTGTATCACAGAATGAAATACTTTTTTTGAAATCTTTCTTCTGCAAAAATATTAGCTCATTATATGTTAATGTATATTTACTTTTTATGGTATAGTTAAATGAGTAAAATTTTTAAATTGCTTAAATTATTTTTCTTATATTTTAAATTAAAAAATTTTAATATACAAAAGATTCTAGGACATCATTGTCTGTATCAGAGCTCAAAATATATTATTAAAAAAATTTTTTTTGTTCTCTTGATATTAAAATGTAATCAGTAATATATATATATACCGATAAAAAGCTATTACAAATATTATATTACACCAGCTTATATTGGTTCACCTACTTTCCAATTTACAGAGTGTTCTATTAGGAACCCTCAAAATATACATTTTTAGAATCTTTATTAAAAATAAATATAAAAAAAGCATATACATTGGTGATAAATAATTAACAAATAAGCGGAAAAGAACGCTATTAAAAACTGACAAAGCGCAGTACATTAAGACTGATCTAATAAACAAGACGGGTTTGTTTCTAAGAGAAGTATAAAGTTGATTATTAAGAAATGCTTTCAACCTGCAACTAAGCCTGTTTTGTTTATTACATCCATCTCCCTATATCATGGTTTGTAAAATTTTGATAGTCCTTAATTTTTTCTCACTAAAACATTAATTTACGACTCCGAATATGTTTACTTTTTTATTTTCATTTTTGGTGGATTCTAAAGATACATGTTTAGAGAAGTCTTTACAGAACATCAAATAATTATAAATTTATATTGATATCAAAGTTACTATATTTTATACCTCTAACTGAAACATATCTATTTTCTGATTAAGTGATTTGAGTTAAATTTCAGAAATATGCAAGAAAAATTCTTATTTGCAAATTTAGTGTGCTATCATTCTTAAATATTTTTTCATTATTGTAAATTTTTACAGTTTTGTCAGCGAAAGGTCCTTTGAGAATTTTCAAATTCTGGCATATAAGTAACAGTCGAAGTAAATTGTTGAGATAGAGAGAACTTTTTATCTTGGTAAGTACTTTTGAACTACATTATAATTCAATGCATTTCCTGTTACTGATACTTATAGATATAGTTATAATTTATTTGAAAAGAAATACTATAATAAAAAAAAAGTTGATTACACGAACTTGGTTCATCCACTTCAATTTCTCTAAGTATTAAAGAAAATTTTTTATTGATATACAAAAGACTGCTCATTTATAATTAGTAGCTCTAAGTAAGTAATTTTTTCAAAAAATATTTAAATGTATATATATACCGAAAGAAAGAATAGGTTTAGTTTCAAAAGTAAAAAAAAATAGAACTTAAAATCAGTTATCAGTAAAAAATAGTCTTAAAATCAGTTATGTGTCTGTAATTATGTAATTATCAGTAATTTCTTCTAGATAGTTTTTGATTTAACAATCCTATGAAACTTTTATAATTAATTGTTAAAAATATATGAAATATTTATAATAAATTATTGAAAATAAATTATACCAATCACAAGCAACAGATGTTAGGTTTAGCTGCAACCCTCTTTTTAAGTGAAATTTTAATAACTCCTACTATTATGTATCAAAATCACATTAAAAGAAATAACTAAATTAATACAACGCTTTTTATTATGCAAACTTCAAAAAAATCCAATTTTCTTTAAATAAATTGCTTCATTGCAAAATATTAAACAAAACTGAAAATAAAATACATTTATTTAACAAATAGTTCTGTATTTTCAAATGTAAATATGAAGGGTTTTCTGCATTAAAATACAGGATCAGTATCTAGAAAAAAATAATGCACAATTAAGAAACTAAAGTAATTGCAAAAGAATGTTATAATCAGTAATTTAAGAAAAAACTTCCAGAAAAATATAATGAAGTAATCATAGTTTACTAATGCATCATAAATAGGGATCTTAGTAGAATAAAGAAGTTACCATGGGCCGTAGGTTGTCAACCCAATTGACATATATATCCAGTTTATGTTTTTAAAAAAACATCACTAGGATCACAGAAAAGTCTCCAAATAGTCTTCTTTTTCTGACAATAGTTGCTTTTCCAGGCAAAAAAAAAGTCTCCTCAGGTCAAAAATAGTTGCGAATAATCGCCTGTGGCAACTCTATATGTATATTGAATAAAAAAATTTCTGCCACCTTTTTAGTTAAGTCATTTTATGAGAAAATAAGTTTTGTAAACAGCTTCCTATTGTACCATACTTTGTAAAGTTAATTGTATATAAATTGTAAAAAATGCCACTTAGAAACTAAAAATGGAACCTTTGGAAGAATTATATCTCTTCCAGCTATGCAAAAGAAATATAAAATACTCTTAAAAAAGCATTATCATTGAATATTAAAGCAGTTCATTTTATTATAAACATGTTATTGCAATCCAGTTTATTGTAATAGAAGTTAATAGTTATTTTACAAGTTATTTATTACATTATTTCAAAATAAATGAAACGTAAAATGTCTCAATTGGAAGGGAAAATAAATTCATAGATTTTCTTAAGAAATAAAAACGGTAGTTTTTTAAAAAACCATAAAGATATCTATCAAATTTTCTTTGTAGTACATATTTATTTGGGAGAAAAATAAGGATAACATAAATCACATTAAAAAATAAAACCTTACAATAGGTGATAGATTTTAGTAATATGCATAATAAAATTAGTAATATAAAAATAGTATTTTTTAAAAGAAAGTTAAGATCAAAAACATTTATTTTCTTGTATGTATCAAGGTTTTTAACCCCTCGAAAAAAAAAAAAACTGGATTTGTTTTTAAAAGTTTTCAGGGTCTGTTTTCCACTTTGCCTAAATAAAACTTTTTAGGGGAGAGGTATTAACTTAAGTCTTTCCTTTCTTTAAATCAATTATTTACTTATTTAATTTTAATTATATCACCTTTTCTACAAAAACTTAGTGTATGTATATAACTTCTGAGTAATACAGAAAACAAACTGAGTTGAATTGAATTTAATGTGAGTTAAGTTGAATTTAATGTTAATCTCAAGTCTGTTGATTGTGGTATTTTAAGTACAATTATATATATATATATATATATATAGTTCTTATAGGATGAAGGGAATGCTATTAGAGTGAATCAATTAATATAAAAATCATTAAATAAACAGTACTTCAGCAGTATTAAGCTGTCAGGCAAAGGGTGTACTGGTAATAGCTTTATATTAAAAAGAAAATAAATCTAAATCTTAAAAAAGAAAAAAATGAATGTCATGAACAATAAGAAACAAAGCTAACAAATATTAATGTAAAGAAACAAAGCTAACAAATATTAATGTAAAGAAACAAAGCTAACATAATATTTTATCCCTGCTCATAAAGGAGGATGTATTACAAAATTTTTATTAATACCATTCGAATTAAATAAAACTGTTAAGTTAATTTTTTTTTAATTTCAATTATTTATTGAATTATAATTTTGCAAAAAAAGTATTCTTTCAAACTGAAATTGTTTTCCTGAAAATAAAGATTAAAAAAAAATTATATAATTAAATTTTCTATTATTCGTATAAATACTTCCAGTTTGGTTGTAACAAAATGAAAAAAAGAAAATTTTTCTTACATACTATATAATTTTTAGCTTTATTGGTTTTGGGAATTTGTACAATTTCAAATAAACATAAATTAACAATTTTTTAATGTTAACGTAGAAATGAATTGCCACAAAATCATCTATGTTAAATGGCAGCATTTTGTTCAGATGAAACTTATTTCTTACAGGACAGGAAGAAACTGGATAAAACGGAATGAAATAAAAATGACTAATACAATTGCTCAACAATTGGTATTATAACTAAAAGAAATTAAATTTATAGTAACAGAAAGTTTATCATTAGGTTTGAGTATTCATAATTAACATTTAATTATGGAAATAATCTATTTGTAATTTGAGAATTCAATACGGGCTTTTAATTGTATCTGTGTTCAGTATGTGATTTATTGATTTAGTAGTATTAATAAAATTCAGTTTTGTTATTTTGATTGTTCTTTAAATATAAAATTACAATTACCCTTAATTTCATTAGAAATTCATGAAAAACTTTTAGATTTTTTTTGTGCTTTTCGTTTTTACTTATGTATAAAATCATAGGTTATTAAAACCACAAAAATTAACATTATTATTCAAACTAAATTGCAGTTATAAACTGTTCAGAAAAAAAACTCTTTGAATATTTCATATTTCTGTTTGGAAAAAAGTTTTTTTTCACTTAGGATGGAGGAAATCTATTTCTTTGAGGGGTTTTTTTTTCTCCATCACTGGGAGAAATTTGCTATACCTGATGTAAAATAAAGCGAACAAATTTAAGATCAAGTCAATGTCTCTAAAAAAAATTTAATATAAAATAGACATTCCATGTTCTTGTAGTTTTTAAAATTAGTTAAGTAATGTAATTATTGAAAGAATTTAAGCTTCCCAAAGTTTATTTTTATCTACTTGTTAAACACACTACTTTTGCTACAGTAGAAAGTATCAATGGGGATTAGGTGTTTTCCATCACCAGCGTAAATAAATCGGTATTGTACTTATCCAGTATGCTTATATTCCTTATTGTAATTTTCAAATTACATTTTTAATATTATTTTTTAATCTAATCTAAAGTATATTTTTTTCTTATTTATATAATGCAGCAATATGTCAATAAGAATATTGTTAAATTTAAAGCTCTATTATGTTAAATTAAGTAGTAATAAAATAGTTATTTTATTCTTCAAACTGTTTGTACTAAAACATACTTTACAATCTTTTGTAAATTGATTGTAAAGATACGTACTTATTTTAGTTTATATTTTTGGAGTCTGTTTTTCTTCATTTGTCTTTATCATTCTGTGAGTTTTTAATATTAAATTAAAAAATATATTTAAATTATTTTAATAATTTCAATTTAAAATAAATTATTTTAAATTGAAAAAATATAATGCCTTGAATATTTCACACTCATTTATGTTAAAATTGTGTGGGTTCAATAAATAAAAAACTGTTTATTTTAGAACATAGTAATTGTATGTCCGGCTTTTTCTAGTCATGTATGTCAGGCGATTCAAATAAATTATTATAAATTCATCCAATTTTGATACCTGTATTGATGATTATATTTTATTTTTTAATACGTTCGTGTAACTGAAGTTAAAATCACTAGATGTTGTGGATGTAAGCTGTACTGCATCTATTTCTAAACACTGTCTTAGAAAACAAAATCTTTCTTTGTTTGCATGAATATTATGTTGCAGATTTTTTTAAAAAGTTTTTCAACTTTAAATTCAAACTTTTATTTATAATGCTTTTAAATTAATTTCTAATTCTAATTAAATATTAAAATATGTTGTTAAAAGTATAAAATCATTCAAAATTGTAATTTTAAAACTGAAAATATATATGTCAGTTTAATTTTATTTACTGCCATGCAATCACATTTCATGAGTCCAGACTTGAATCTACTAACATTAAATTTTTATAGATTAGGCCATCAAGCAAATTATGAAATGCATTTTAATGGACAGTAAAAAATAGTGAAATTAGGAATAATCACCACGCTAAAAAACAAAAAACTTTAATTGGATATAAATTTTCCTCTCACAAAATTTAAAGTGAAATTCAAAAGAAAACACAAAAATTCTGAGGATGTATAATGACAACATTTTAATGGGGACTAAATCCGATTGAAACACTTTTTTTATAATTGCATATAAGCCTTATTTTTTTTTTTAAGGAAAGATACTTCAAAAATTGCCTTCCTTTTTAAAGGTAAAATATTTTTCATAAATCAAGATACAAATGTGTGGCTATACACAAAACACTTAAAAATTAATTATTTTTGATTAAGACATGTACATACATATTAAAAGCAGAAAAAATAAAATACCTCGCAACACCTGTGAAGTTCCAAAGCATGCTTGAAAATCATCCAAAAAAAAATGAACTCAAAAAGAAACTAATTTATCTTTATAAAATATGGAAAACAAAAATAAATAAAAGAATCGTTTCATACGAAATAAGCAGATGTTTTGTATTTATTTACTTTTGGAGTTATAAGAGGTTGCTGAAATAATTTAAATGTTTTTAAAAATTTATTATATAATTATATTTAATTAAAAATATCAAATTCTAATTTAATAATCATTTGATTTTATTTAATTTTCAATAGATGAAAATAATCTTACAATAAATAATTGTGCTATAATTAAATTTTTTTAAATAGAATTCGAATTTTTAAATAAATATATTTGAAACAAAAAAGAGAAATAAAAATTAACTTCGGGATATTTGAATAAAGAAACAATTACTTAAATAGCCAAAAGTAATTTACCAAACATATAATGCTTAATTTATACTATTGATTTCCGTATTATATTTAAAATTCAATTTATAATTTTTGCCAATTTTGTAAAATATTATAATACAAAAATAAAATAATGAAGTTGTAAAAACTATGTCATCTGAAAGTACATTTTGTATATAAAGAGTAGTTTGTGATAAAATTTATTGATGATTTAAAAGCTGTATAATTTTGTTTAGTTTATAATAAAATGTTAAAAACAAATTAAAATTTGTAAGCTCTATAACTTTAGCACTGAACAGGTTGAACAAAAATAAGAGTCAAAACATCTTTATATAGTATTTTGGTTAAAATTAGAACTTAGAAATCAATATTGATTTATAATTTATCTGAATATTTGGCATGAGGCTATTTATATTTACATTTATTGTACATTTATCCGTACTTTTATTACTTATTATAAGTTAAGTTTAAAAATAAAATATAAGGCATTAATTTTATTTAAGAAATATTTTGAAAGATAATGATTTCTTGAAATAATAATTTAAAAATAAGAGAAGAAAAAAACATGCATATACTTTCTAAAAAATAGATTCCTTAATCTTAAGATTAATAAAATAATTTTCAATTTTAATTTTCTTTAATAAACTGTTTTATTTAAGAAAATTCTTACATCAATTGATACTTCTAATTAAAAACACAATAGTATTACGTATTAACAAATGTTTTGATTTGAATAAATGAGTTAAAGATTTTTAATTAATTTTCCTTGGGAAAAAAATGGATGTTTCCTAACATTAATTATTTTATATCACATTAATTTAACCATTTCTGAGCAAACCTCTACCCAGATTTTAACAAATTAGGACGCTTTTTCAATCGTAACTAGTGTGAAAAGGTACCGATACAAAAATTCCCTTTGTGATTTATCAGGGGTCTGTCCAGGGTATATTTACTAATGTTTAGCGGTACCTTCACAAATTCAACTTTAGGAAAAATGCTAGTTTCACAAAATACTTTTAATAAAGCGAGTTCTCACGCAAACCTCTTTCATGTTGCAATCTAGGTAAAAGAGAAGCTTTTTTGCCAGATGTCTTTTACGAAAAGGTAGCACATTTGGTCAGATACTGCAATGTGGTAAGCCTAACCAGTCAATATCAAAGCGAGCTTTTTTTTTTTAGCTGAGTTTTTTAAAATGAAACAATCAGTGCCTCCCTTTGTAAACTTTACAGAAAGTCAAAATTCAAACATTATTCTAAACATTCGAACATTATCTTATACACTATTGCAAATTTATTCTAACAAACCTTTATTTTTTATGAAATTTTTTTTTTCTCTGTGAAACTTTTTTCTATATGACCTATATATTGAAAATAATCTCAATGAAAATAACTTTTAGTGCTAGTACTGTTAAATGCATGTTTTTATTAAATTCAAGTTGAAATTTAATGATAGACAATGATTTTTATGAAATTTTAAAATTGGATGTAATTTTAAGCCCACAATTTTACAATGGCAAAATTATCTTTTTTATATGGGAAAAAATATACCGAAATTTACTTGTCATAAATGATTTTTATTTGAAGTGACAATTTTTGTACAATATTTTTGTGTTGATTTTTTAATATAATTTTTAATTTTCGCAAATTATGTCTAAATGTTCACAAAATAGGTACCTCTAAAAAAAAACCTAAGCAGACCCCTGCTTACTCAAATGTGAGAGGGTCAAAAAGCAAAAAATTAATGAAGAAACTACAACACAAGCATAAAAAAATGAAAATTAATAAAAGGATTACATAAATATATACAATAAAACAATAATAATTACTTACCAATATAATGACACTCCTGAAACTTTGTCTTATGGGCAATTAGTAGTACCCAGAAGTAGTTATGTTGCCAAAAGAATTAACTTAAAGCTTGATTAACTTAGTGAAAGCGAATGAAGTTTGTTAGACCTACACCTCCCATGGCCAAGGGAAGAGATATTGAGTCGAAGGTAATAATGGTAAAAAAATTTTAAAAAGTCAAGTTCAGCGTTAAACATTTATTATAATATTGAATCATTTTCAAATAATGCGAGTTTTAAAAGTTGAAGAAAACTTTTACATGAACTCTATCTTTATTATCTATTCTAAAAGCATTTTTTTTTTGTTAGCAAGTGTGTATCAAATAAATTTTGAGAATTTTTTTTAATTAAAATGAAACCTTAAAAAAGAAAATATGTAAATCTTGAAACGCATATTAAATAATAAATGCTGTTGCAGGTACAATGCTTTCCTGAGACAAAAATATGGATNCATAATTATACTACTGTTACACCTTAACTGGGCAGATTCCTTGGCCAATATACTGGCTTTAGGAGTGCTTTTATCATAATAAAACTGCTTTATTGAAGTAAAAATAACAATTATGATAGCAGAATTTTTAGCATAAATACAAATAACTAAACTTGCAGTAAAGAATGAACAAGGTTTTATATATTTTGTAGGCTGTATACATCTTGTAAGTTTTTATTTTTGAACAAAAGATTTCAATAAACCTAATTAATTGTTACCTTATATTTTAGTTTTAAAAAATAAGCAATGTATTAGTTTTTGCACTAACTTTTATAGTAAAACCCTTCTGTACATTAATTTTCAGCTTATATTTTTGTAAAAATTGAGAAACTGCACATACCTTTTTTTCCCCCTCCCTTTCACATTTAAATTGTTTTCTGACACATTAGCAAAACACTTCAGTGCACTAATTGTCAACTTATATTTCTGTAAAGAGTAAAAAACCATAGTTTCTAATTATTTCTTTTAAAGACATCCTCTCGAAAGGGATAACTTGTTGTTAAGAAATGTCACTTAATGTGCTGTTCTACTATGTTCTTCGTTTTAGATCCAAATTTACTATTTTCCTTAAAGTTTCAAACCCAGTTAAAGCAAAATTATTTTATCCTAAATCCTTATATTTAGCTAGAGTAGCTGGAGTAACATTTTCTGTGCCTGATTGATTGAGAGCTAAAGTTTACTAAAAAGAAACTAAACAAATATTTACCTCATAGTCATTAACATAAATTCATCAACAAGAGTACTTCAACTAGTGGATTCTCAGAAAAGTATGATTGCTATACAAGATCTGAGCTAGCTGATAAATAATTTATGCAACTTTCGCATAGTTGTGTCTCTTGGTTGGGGAGAGGGCTAAAAAAATTAAGCATTATTGTCATCAGTATTAAATACTGCTAATAACTTAAATACTTAAGTGCAACTGAATGAATCTTTAATGGAGGAAAGCAAGATTATTCGTCCCAATTTTGCGAGGGTTGCTGCGCCACAGGGAATTAAAAAATAATCTAAAATAACTAATTTTTCCTTACAAACTGGAAAAATGCAGGAAATATTAATTTCTTATTTTCTTCTTTTACAAAATGTTGACCTCTCAAAGTGTAATCTATGAGATAGTTCAGCCATACTACACTATTTCATTTGCTCTATTATTTTTTTTTTTATGTATGTTGAACTATTTCTTATTTCCTTCTTAAGTTTTTCCTGCAATTAAAACTAGTACAGGGCTGATTGTGCTCTGGAAAAAATCCGGATTTCTAGATTTTTCGCTAACCGGGATCCGGAAGCTTCCGGAGATCGAAGGTTCAGACGTGTCAAAAAATCATTGATCACAAAAGTTTCTGGAACTTAAAAACACAGTTTATTTTATTTGTTTGTAAGAAAGAGCCAGATACTTTATAGGCTTTATATTCAAGATTAATATTAATTTTTTATCAGTATATAGTTATTATAATCATAAACTCAAGAAAGACATATTTGTAAATTTCAATTACTTCTCCAGGTTATCATAGGTATGTGTAAATGGTATAAGTATGTGTAAAATTTTAAATATATTTTAAGTAAACTAAGAAAGATTGAGAAAAAGGAAAAAACCTTGTATAAATATTTTTCCATTTAAACTTTTTTTTTTCTTACTCAAGAAATTTTCCGGAATTTTGACTTGGGCTCTCAATCACCCCAGCTAGTATTAATTATCCTAATATAGCACACACATTTGCACAGTGAGTCTGTGTTTCATTTTAATATATTGTGTATAATACAGGAAAAACATGGGGAACTTCTTTCTAGATTTGAGTTACAACCCTGCTAATTTTAAAGCTGCTTATTGTAACTCACGAACTATGTTAGTTATAGGAACTCTTAATTTGAGCAACTGTGATTAATAGTAGTACCAATTATTATTTAGAAATTACTTTTTTACTTGATTTTTTAGTTAAAGTTCTTTTCCATTATTATAAATGAGTATCATTTTTAATTAGGCACACGGGCCATAAAAATGAGAGGTAAAGGATAGAAAGTTTCCTCAATGACACAAATTCTCAGGCAGTTTCTGGATCTGAAGATGGTTGTGTTTACATGTGGGACCTAATTGAAGTCAGTATTATTAGTCATTATTATGACAACTTTTTATCAAAAAGCATGACTATAATTATTATTAAGAGCTCCAAAAATGACCAACAATTTGAAAAGTGAGTTGAAATAAAACAAATGTAGAATTGCTGCAGTCCACTAAAAAAAAAACACACACACAGTGTTTATTTTCACCAAATTCACAATTTATTTAAAAAAAACCATCAACAGATGGTGCTGATGATTGCTAAAACTGTAAAACATTGCTTTCTACTACATGTCAGGTCATTCTGTTGATTTTGTCCTCAAATTGTTACTGCAAATTGAGGGTATTTGGAAAACATTACTTTATAATTAGTTTCAATTGCAATATCATGTGAAGAAAAGTTCCGTTACTTGTTGAAAAAAAAAACAGTTTTTACTTGAAAAATGTGCCTGCATCACTTTTTATTATTCACTTTTTAAATTTTTTTAAAAAAGTTTTTAGTCGTTTTTAGGTCACTCAGTATTAATACAATGTTGCATATTTGCGAGGTTATACTTTAAAAAATTTAATCATAAAAGAGATATAACTGACAATTATTATATTTTAATGCTGGACAAATATTTTGTAAATAGGTGGAAATCATTAATTTTTTAGTCTTTACTAATATTTTTTTATTTCATTTTTTTTAATATTTTTATTTATTCTGTTTTGTAATCCCTGAAAATTGTCTTTCTGATAAAGGTTTTCCAATGAGATACCAAAATGCTTCTAGGTTTTAATAAAAATTTTACTATTTGTGATTTTTAAATATTTTTAATCAATTTTAATTTTATTTATTCAATTTAAGAACTACTCTCATTATTTTAAAATACAATTGAGTATAATTTCATTAAAATTTATATATTTGCATAATTTTTTACCACAAAAATGTATAATTATCTCCGGATAGGCTTTTGAGTCATTTAAGAAAGTGAAGCACGGTTTTGTATCTTGTTCTTGAAATTTTGATGTAACATTTTGATAGTAACAAGTTATATGCTTAGTCCATGCAATGAAAGCACATCTAAGTCTTATGGTCCCAGGAAACAATCTTGCAATGTTATATTGAAATTTTTGTCTGCACTTTTTGATTAAGATACTGCAGACAAGGTTGCTTTCTATTATATTTTCTCAAATTGCAGGCTGCCACCAACTATAGAAGATTGTGTTGGTGTCAAATGAAGCCACTAGGCTTTTTCAAGTTTTTATCAATAACTTAATTGGCTTTATTTTGATTTTTTTTTTTTTTCATTATAGTGTTAGAGAAAGTCTTGCTGCATGGATAAACATCATTAGTTTAATATATTTGTGTTAATTTAACTCAATTAAAAAAAAAACAATGATTTTAAACTGTTTATAACAAGACTCACTCACTGAGAATATAGTATTTAAAATATATATTTATAAATAATCCTCCAGAATTTCATTGAATAGTAATTCTAAAATTATTATTTATTGTATCTTATTTTAACAACAGTTTCAATTTTAGTATGAATTAGTATATAAAATTATAATGAGAATACTTTCGTCAGGGTTGCCACAGCTTCTGGAAAGCCGGAAGAATACAGGGAATTAAAAAAGTCTTAAAAAACAGGAAAACGGCAGAGAATTTTCAAATTTTTTAAACGTCAACAAAATAAAGTATGTAATTATATCTTGCACTACAAAAGATAAATCAGCCGTGTCAGCTGTCCAACTACGGAAGCTCCTCAATCTATGTCTATTTTAATTCTTCAATTTATGTGTATTTTTCTCTTCTCAGTCAGAAGTCGATTTTACATTATCGCGCTTCATGCGTTTTTTATTGCTAGTCCGACGGAAAACGTAAAAATTAGGGTTCCACTATGTGTGTATATATATAAGTCATAATTCATCACATATCCAACCTGCCTGCATTTTTATTATGTGTTGAATATATCAACCAAGATTTTAATTTACTGTCATTAAAAGGTAAATATCTATATCTCTTTATATTATGCTGTGTTTTTCAATCAAAACATTTTTGAATTTAGGCACTAATACATCAAGTTAAGGACAAATTTTTCAAAGAAATTTTTTATTTATTTTTGACTGTGAATATAGTTGATTAGGTTAGTTCTGGAACCGGGCACAAATGTTAAACTAGTCCTTTTCAGCGTATGATTAAAAAAAACTATTGTTTTCTCTAGTTATTTAGTTTAGTTAAAGTTTGTAAATCAGGACTTACCTGGTTCTTGCACCTCTATTGATCACATTGTTTTTTAGTCATTCAAGATTTATTATGGATGCATTTTATGTGAAATTAATAAAATAATATTAAGGATAATAAATTTCTACCTAGACTATTTTAAATATTTAATATTTTTTTACAAATGACACTCTTTGGCATTTAAATTAAAAATCAAATTAAAAAAATCTTCCTTGTAAGGAGTAAAATAATTACTTTTAAATTTTGTGAAAAAATTACTTTTTTACATTATTTTAACATGTTGTAATTCTATTTCTGAGACTGATATTCATAAGGGTCCCATAGTGTGTATGTATTCATTTAATGTGATTAGACATTTGCATTTTGTAAATTTTCCTTAAATATAATGAATAACTTGTGTAAATTTTATAGGAGATGCAAACAGGGATACTATAGGCTCTCAGTCATTGAATGGTAAATATCTGCATTTTTAAGTATTATTGTTTGTTTGTAGGTATTATTTTAAGGTTTTGTTGTCTGAATAAAAATTATTTTAAATTTAAAGTATTTTTTGATAGAAATTTTGATAAAATTTTCATTGTTAAAACTTGTTTGAAATAGCATAAATAAAGTTTACTTTTTTTTTTCTTCTTTGAAAATATAATTCATAATTTTGCTATTCTGGTTATTGTGATTTCCTGTGTTTGTTTATTTAATAGTTGGAATCCAAATATTTATTTTTAATTTAAATGCAATTTGATTTTATTGCATGAAATTATAATACTTTGTAGATTTTATTATTATTATTATTATTATTTTGCCGTTTTATTCGTTATCGTTATTTTTTAAGTTAAATTGTTCCTGAACTCTTTATGCAAAAGTTTTCTATAAAATATTTTATTTTTTAAATATGTTGACAGTGAAAAATAAAAACAGTCACTTTGAATTTTTGTTCATACCTGGTTTTATTTATTGCTTTTGTGTGTTTCAGCAATACTGAACATTTTTGAACCGAGGGACTTTGCCCCTTGTTATATTTCATGTCTAAAGTAAAAGTACATGAAAAAAATTTCTCAATGCTGTAATTTTTTGATGAAAGAAAACATTTACAATATAGCATTAGAATTGCATATAGAAAAAGGTTTTTTTGTAAAAGAATGTCAATTCAAACTGTTTAGAGCATAATATCAATTTTAACTGTAAACAAAATTTTCTATTTTGATCATTTGTTAACTGTTATTTTTTAATGGAATTTAAAATACAGCTTTTATATGTTTTTACTTGTATGCCAAAGCTCTTAATTTTAAAATTAAACCTTTCTTAACCTGAGTGCAAGGATAATAAAAAAATTTAAAACCCTGAACTTAAAATATGGTACACAAATTATATATAGTTAAATAGTTTTTTATTGTATTTCATATGATTTTAAATTTTGCTATTTTTGTAAGACATTGCATTAAGTCTAAAATTTTACACTTTTTTATTATTTTTAAAATTTTATTGAATTTAAAAAAATATGATACATTATATCATTTTTTAAGCATGATTTTTGAAATTATTTTATAGTTATTCAATATTAATATATAAAATAAGATGAGAAAGTGTGACTTGATATACTAGGTTATGGTCTTTCAAAATCTTTTCCACTAGTCCGCAACTTTTGCATTGAATTTAAGCAGCACAATCCTCATTAGATAGATATTATTACTTAGTAGAAATTTTTCATTCTAATGCCTTACATCTTTTAGTTACAAATGGAATGCTCTATGTTAATATCAGCATGATATTATTTGTTTCCAAGGCTAAACACATCTGGGGGCAAGAAAAGATACAGAAATAATTGTCCCATCGCAACTGAGGGCTCAAATGGAATTGCTGTATGAAGTTTTATATTTATAGTTAAAAAAACACATAGAATTTCTTAAAAAATTGCTTAAAATTTTTTTAAAAATGCAAAAAAAAACTTTTTATTATTGGGTAGTTTTATAGTGACTGATATAAGTTTTTGCTGGGTTTTCTTATTTTTTAAACTATTTTTTCATTGATAAAAACTTTTTTTTAAATTATCTGAGATGCTTCCTTCTCTCATCACTTAATTTGCCTTCTATAAGCAATAATGAGATTATTTTTTTTAATTTATTTTTAAAAAATTTCAAATTAGCTAGAAATATTGAAAGTTTACTTGAATTGACATATTATAAAATTGTAGAGAAAGTGGCAAATCGAGAAAAGCTCGGTGACTAATGTTACAGATTACTGACAGATAATGTTCAGATATTAAAATTTTAATTATTATTATTACAAAATTTTTAAATTTTTTTTAATTTCATATCCAAAGTAAATAAAAGCTACGAAATTTGTTAATGGAGAGATTTTATTAAATGTTTTTCTTTTTAATTATGTTGTCCTTTGTATCATAGAATTGCTCATAAGGTAGTAATTACCAACAATAAAAGAATGAAGTAGGATGATTACTGTTATAAAACAATTATTAATTTATATGCTGTGCATTACTGGAGATTAATATTTTACAAATCAAAATCCATAAAGTACCTTTTTGATTAATGTTATAACAGGAAGCTTAAAAAATATAAAAATTAGACCCTTTGTATTTTGAAGAAACCCGAAAATTATTATTATTATTTTTTTTTTTTTGAGGGGGTTTGCAAAACCTATGTTTAGTTTTGTCTGTAACTTAAATAAACTTTCATGGTGTTTTAAAAAATCAATAAATAGGAATATGTTTAATTTCTTCAAATGAATGGAATTCAATGTCATGTATGATTTTATATTTAAATGCATATTATACATCTTAAAATTTTTCTTTACATAACATTAAATCTGAGTTGATCTCACAGATCTGTGTTAGATTAACTTTATAATAGATAAAGCACAAAAATATTTCCCCCATATTTTTATAAGTATTGATTTGAGTGTCATTTTATTCATTAGTTTGTATTATAAATAAAATGTGTTATGGATTGTGCAAATGTGATACAACCAAAGCATTTTCTTTATCAGAATGTCCACCATTCAAAAGCAGAGTGTATTCTTGTCATTGATCATAAATAATAAAAAGTTATGGTCAGGGAAAAGTCTAAAATACAGCTTAATTTGAGAATTTTTTAAGGCTATATTAAAGCATTTTAAATTATTTTAACAATTTTTTGGTGTAGACAGATTGAGATTGAAACATTCTACCTTTTTACTATTTTCTCTCTGAGTAGTATTTTGAAACGTAACTGATATGAAATGTAATATTTTATTGATTGTTACGCAAATGTAATATTTTTCTGATTGCAATATTTTTTTGATTGTTTTATTTGATTTTTCTTAGCAAACACGAAAAAGAAAATTCCCTGCTTGGGTTACCAACACAGTAGCTGGGATTGAAAGAAGGCATCGAGAGAAGATGGAAATTTTTAACAAATACTTAAACTTTGAATTGAAAATAATTGAAAAATGATTTGACACTTATTTTAAAATCTTGCTACAGACTTCTCTGCTTGTAACCATTTCTGTGTTTAAATATTTTATTATTTGCTACCCCATTTTTAATTCGGTGCTTTTCAAAAACAATTTTTCATCAAACTTCTTAAAAAATTTAATACAAATAACTAACTAATCCAAAAATAAGATTTCTTTTTTCTATATGAGTCATTCGATTGCAAAACTTGTTTAAGTTAGATTGAATTTTTCTCCTAAATTTTATTGGTCGAAATAATAACATTTTTTAACTAATTTATCCAGCTAACTACTTGAAATTTGTATGAAAGTTTATAATAAAAGTTAAAATTTCATTTTGGGGGTAAAAAAAAAAACTTGTTCTGATTTCAATTCAAGTAAAAATAAATGAAAACGTTGAGGAGGAATAACTAGTTTTGCTTTTGGATTATTCATTCAACATTACCCATTTGTTATTCACCCATATCAGTTTAAATATTAAAGCTATTAATAGAAATCTGGAAAAAATAAATATGATCTTTTCATCACTGCACACAATTATATCTACAAAAAAGATTGCTTTCTAATATTGTATCAATGTAGTTAAAGCAAAATATATCAATACAACAGTGTGAGGAGCACTTAAAAAATAAAAAAAGCAATCCTTTTTGCAGAAATAATCATGTGAGCTGATGAAGAAATATCTCCTTTTTCTCCGGATTTTTATTATTATATTTTTTTAATAATGTTAATAATTTTCTTTTTCTCTTTTTTCATTATTTTGTAATTTTTTTTCATGTTTTCCCTTGTTGATTTGTATTGTATTTTGATCTTATTTTATGAGTTCTATATGCTTGCAGCTTATGCACAGTATTGAAACCTATTGATTTTCTTAATTTCCTTTGTTTTTCTCTCTTTTTTGTTGTTGTTGTCCATTTTGTATTTACTTATTATGCTTTATATATATAGAGAGAGAGAGAGACAAAAAAAACTACCAAGAATAATTAAATATATTTTAAAAATTCTTTTTAAAAAAATTAAATAGCAAGAAAACAAATTAAGTGATATATGCTGCTCTTACCCTTATATGCTATAAAGTTATATATATTTACACCAGATATCTGCAGCATTTTTGATTTTAAAACTTGTACTTTGTCTTTTACCAACTTAAAAATTAGCCTTTAATTTAAGTAAAAAAATAAAAACTCTTTTAGAGCCACTCCTTGACTATGATTTGTTTTAACCTCCAACATTCTGAGCATTAATTTTAAAAAAAATTTTGTTACAACTTTTTTCAATCCTTCTTCTAAGTTTACTTAATAATTTTTTCCATTCTTGCATTTGTATTTTTTAAACATTTAATGATTCACTATGTTCTATATTTTTCCTGGTCTTGTTGCTAATAAATTATAATTTTTAATAAAATTTTTAATTTTAATATGCATGGTTTTTCTTCATCTTTTTCATTTATTTTATTTAATTTTTTCTATATTTTTCATGATCAATTGTGTTTGGAGGTTTTCTTAATACAAAATCACTGAAACAGTTTTTCCAAATAACCTTCGATTTTCTTTATTTAAAGTAAATCACATTCAAGTCCAACAAAACAATGTTCAAGTTACAATTAAATTTATTTAGGGATATTTTCAGAACTAAAGATATATTTTTAAAATATCATGTGCATTATTTTAATTCAAACTAGTTTTAAAAAAATTTTCAAAAATAGTAATTTTTTTAGGCACTGAGAAATGATGTCCTCTTTGCATTTTTTTATTTGCCTATTTTTTCAAAAATTTTTGTTTAGAGTGAAATTTTTAGTATAGTTTTTTGTTTAATTGTAAAAATTCAATGACATTTTTTTTAAAAGAACTACATTACTTTAAAGTGTAATTTATCATATGCAATATTTCTAAAAAAATATAGGTCTGATATTTGAAACAAACTTTAAAATTTATGAAGTTACAAAATGTTATACTTAGAAATGGTAATTTTAAATTTAATCATTTGATATCAATATTAAACAGTATAAAGCAAAGACTTGAATAAATCAAGGGAATAATTAGTTTAAATGAATAAAATAGTACCTTTTATAAAAATGCAACCAGATTTAAATGTTTCAAATACAACGTAGAATATTTTTTAATTTATTGTCTTGGTGTTTTAAATAATAATTAAAGAATAATCAATGAAGCTTATAATAATAAGGCTTAACAACATAATTTATTAACAAAAAAGTATTTATTCTATGGAAATTAGTTTTCTTCTTGAATTTTACAGATTTTTAATTACGAAATATTATTTTTTTATTACAAGTTTGATGTAATATTAATGGTGTATTGTTATGGAGTTCCGTGAAAAGGGTCAACAAACGTTTAATTAATAATTCTATAATTAGTTTAATTTAACGAATTAAACCTAAAAAGATTTTACCGAAAAGTACATATCCTAAAATAAAATTTAATTTAGCATTTAACATAAAAATTCAATGTTTATATTATATACAGAATAAATATATACATTACATAATAAAAAGTTATATGCATAATAAAAAAGCAACTCTATCTGGCTAATAGGGCTGAGAAGATTTATTAAATCTAATTTTCTTTCTAGAAAAACAAAGCTCTAAATTTACAAAACTCTTGTCAGGTTGGTTTTGACATATGCTTCTGAAGTTTGGACAATGACAAAACTGGAAGAAAATTGTATCACAATATTTGAGAAAAATATTTTGCAGAGTATATTTGATGGTATAAATGAAAACAATAACTAGAGATTTAGCCTTAAACTGTTCACGATTTATAAACATCCTGATATTATTAAATACATAAAAATAAATAGAATGAATTGGATGGCCCATGTGATTCGAATGAGTGATGACTAGGACTGGGTTATAAATCGATGCATCGCGAAATATCGATTTAATGCATATATCGGCAGGCCGATATAATGACTTTCGTTTTAGGTGATTCATCAGAAATTTGATTTAAGCTGCCGAGAGTGACTCTCGTGTTAGGCGATGCATCAGAAACCTGATTTAAGCCGTCGTGTAAGGCAACGCTCGCGGTTTAACGATTTAATATATGAGAATGCTTGCCTACGGTAATGCTGTCACCGCGGTGACGAAGACTATTTTGATTTCGTCTAACTGATAGCGCCTAGCTACGAAGACGATGTTAGTTTCATGATGTCGAATAACGAAAAGCGAATTGAATCAAATCTCCCTGTTACGTGCGAAGATAGGCGTTGAAATAGAACGCTATGCATAGTTTCTTTATGCGCCATTTTTGTATTTGGAAGTTTACTTTTCTTGAAGATTATTTTCAGCTAGGCTTGCTTATTTTGTGATCTCTGTGCACTTTACTATTTAGCGACCTTTTTTTTTTGTCTGTCGGGATTTAACAATTCTTGTAAATTATTTTTAGTAGATCTACTGTTATTGGCGATCGTTGCTCAATCGCAATTATCTTAAATTTTCGTTCTGAACTCAATCTATTAATGAAAAGAAAACATAAATAATAATAAAAAAAAGATTCTTCATTTTTTTTTTTTTAATTATTGTTTTTCATTTTAAGCGATACAATTTAATAGGGGTATTTTAAAATTTAACTTTGTTAAAAAAAGTTAGTTTTTTTTTTTAATTTATTTAATGCATGTAAGTATAATAATTTGATAGAATTTGATTATTTTTAAACGAATTCAGTCATTTTTAATTTTAAAAAAATTTGGCTATTAATTAAAAGAAATATTTTTTTAAATTGAATAATAAGTTAAGCAATGTTTTGACGCTTTTTAATAATTTAACACTAGTACTTAGAAGTATTTTTTTTTTTTAATTTTTCTTAAAATTCTTTCAATACTTGTTTGTTTCATAATTTGGTAGACAGTCTGTATCATTTTTAAACAAGTAAATTCATAGTCGATTTTATTTTCAAAAAAGAAAATAATAATAAATAAATAAAAATCTTACATTTATTTTTACATTAACCATAGAATTAGACCATTGGTTAATACAACTTTGTTATTTTAAATAAATAAATCAAGAAAGCTCTAACAATGCTTCAAAAGCACATATTTTTTGCAACAAATAATTTAAAAAATGATTGACTAAAGAGAACATTTCCTTAGTTTGTTTTTTTACTTACGTTTTTTTTTTTCCTTTTAATTTATGTATGTAAAATATTTTGTTAGTTTTATTATTTTTAATCCAATAAATCTTAAGTCATTTTTAATTTAAAAAAAAATTAAAATAAAGCTTTGGTTTGTTTTTACTTAAGACATTTAGTTTTGTAATCGATTTATTCCTTTTACTTATTTTTCATTAATTTAAAGATTTCTGATAGATAATTTTTGAACATATGCTAAATCGTGATACATCGCTATATCGCGATGTCTAACAGTTGATGTATCACGAAATGAAATTTCTTACATCGCCCAGTCCTACTAGGACTGGGCTATAAATCGATATATCGCTACATATCGATTTAACGCCTGTATCGGCAGGCCGATACAGCGACTTTCGTTCCAGGCGATGCATCAGAAATCTGATTTAAGCCGTCGTGTAAAGAAGACGAACGATATAGCGATACAAGACACGCAAGGATCTCTTACTTTCCGATGCCAATTCGCGCTGGGGAAGACGATGTACGTATCGTTATATTGAAACGGCCTTGATTGATGAGCGGTAGAATCAGAATCAATATTTTAAAAACATTGTAGAAGTGAGTAGTTGGCAGAATAAATGCTAAAATGAAAAAAAATGGTGTTGTCCATAAAATATTAGAGTAAAAAGAGGACTTGTTTTCCGCGAAATAATGAAATCTTTCATGGTAAAACGAATTTTTTAACCAATCAAAGAATTTGATCCATTTTAGAAAGAGCATATTAAGAAATAAATTTGACCAAAACAGTGAGCAAAAAATTTGTTCAGACAATGAGGAAGAAGGTTATAATTACCTAAACTAATCAACTGAACCAATTGATATTTTTTTTCTATAGAGTGACGAATGATTAAATATCTTTTCTTTCATCTAAAGTTTATGTTTTTTATTAATTCCAAAAACTTTTATTCAAGACCAGCAGTAGTACGATTCAAAGAAGAAGAAAAAAACAGAAATAATCATTTGAACGAGTCCTTTTCGAGTATCTAGATAAATATAGAAATGAGACTGACAAATAAAATTAAAAAACACACACACTTAAAAAAAAATAAAAGAAACACAAAGGAGTTAAATCCGATTTGGACTATTGTCAATACTGCGCTAGCGTAGTGCAGACGTAAAACTTACCCGTCTTCCTAGTTGGTCACACCCGGTTGACACACCTGTTGTTGTTGTTGCACGCCCAGTGCTAGATCAGGTCCATGACGTTATACACACTAAAAAAAGCCGTCAATGGATCATTTGCTAAATCCTGTTTGGTGAGGTCTGAAGAATAGTTGGTACAAATTTCAAAGGTGATTTAAGGTGACCACTTCGAAAGCGGCCAAGAATAGTTTGTTTCTGTCTATTAAAATCTTGGGCCAAGGAGCCTCCAGGTCGAAAACACTGATACCATGGGTGCTTTGGGGAGACATTCCTTGACACACCATCATTTGCTGTTTGGAGAACCTCCCCTCCTCAATGCAATAACCAATCATTTAACGTGTTTAGGGAGTTCTATTTTATGGAAGTAATGCCCCTTGTTGGATGGCATTCA